GCTGAGGTAATCTTCTCGCCTAGGCCTCCCAAAGTGCTGGGATTACAGGCTTGAGCCACTGCGCCTGGCTCTGCTTATATCTTATTATTGATTTATTTCTTTGAGATGGGGGTCTCACTCTGTCATCCAAGCTGGAGTGCAGTGGTGCGATCATAGTTCACATGAACTTCTGGGCTCAAGCAATTCTCTCATTTCATCCTCCGGAGTTGTCAGGACTACAGGTGTGTGCCACCACGTCCAGCTAATTTTGAAATATTCTTCTGTAGAGATAGGGTCTTGCTGTGTTACCCCGGCTGGTCTAGAAATCCTGGCCTCAAGTGATTCTCCTGCTTCAGCCTCCCAAGCAACTAGTGCTACTGGCACATGACACCACACCCAGCTAATTAGAAAAAAATATTTAGAGGCAGGATCTCATTGTGTTGCCTAGGCTGGTCACAGACTCCGGGCTTTAAGTGCTCTTACCACCTCAACCTCAACCTCTCAAAGCACTGGGATTAAAGGTGTGAGCCACTGCACCTGGTCTTTCTGCCTATATTTTAAACACATATTTTAAAAAATGTTTCTGGGCCGGGCTCATGCCTATAATCCCAGCACTTTGGGAGGCCAAGGTGAGAGAAATACCTGAGCCCACGGGTTTGAGACCAGCCTGGGCAACTTGGTGAGACCCTATCTCTACAATAAATCAAAAAATTAGCCAGGCATGGTGGTGTGTGCCTGTGATTCCAGCTACTTGGAAAGTTGAGGCGGAAGGATCACCTGAGCCTAGCAGGTCAAAGCTGCGGTGGCCGGGAGCATGTCACTGCCCTCCAGACTGGGTGACAGAGTGAGACTCCTACTTAAAAAAAAAGGTTTCTGTCTACTTATTCTATTGACTGTGTTATTCTTGGGGGTCTTTTTCTATATCTATTGACTTTTTTCGACACTGGGCATTGTGAATTCTACATTTTTTGGATGCTAGTTTGGTTTTATTTATTTATCTATTTATTTACTTATATTCCTTTAACATTTTTGAGTTTTCTTTTGGGACTTAGTGTAGTTACCTGGAAACTTATCAGAAACAATTGAACTCTTTTGAGGCTGACTTTTAAAGCTTTGTTAGGTGAGACCAGTGCTGTCTTTCCTTAGGGCTCATCTGGCCCCACCCTCTGAGGCAATATCCTTCTGTGACCCTTTGGGGAGGAGGTTTCACCACTCTGGCTGTTGGGAATATGAGCTATTCCCAGCCCTGTTTATCTCTAGAAATGATTCCTCTTATTCTTGTCTGGTTGTTTTTCCCGGCCTTGATAATTTCCTCACATGTGTGTGTTGATTGGTTGTTAACGAAAACTCAAGAGTAACCCTCTGGAGATCCCCAGAGCATGTCTCCTCTCTCGTGTTCTCTTATCTACCACCTTGGCCTCTCTGGGCTCCCAGCTCTATTTCCTCAACTCAGGGAAAGTTCTATCTCTTCCTGAGCTGCGGCCTGAAACTCTGTAGGCAGTAAGTTGGAGCAATTGTAGGGCTCACGGGCTTCTGCACTAGACAGGGGTCCAGTCTCTCTCTCTCTCTCTCTCTCTCTCTCTCTCTTCTTCCTCCCAAAAAAGAAAAAAAAAATTGTAGGGCTCATCTCATTGATCTCCCTTCTCTTGGGGTTCTCTGTCCTGTACTGCCTGTTACCCAATGTCTGAAAACCATTGTTTTATATACAGTATTTTGTCTAGCTTTCAGTCGTTTAAAACAGAAGGATAAATCAGGTCCTTGTTGCTTTATCATGGCAATAAGTGGCAGCCCTACTACTTTTTCATACACAGCTTACTCCCCCCTCCCCTCTCTTTTTTTTTTTTAGAGAGATGGGGTCTCACTGTGTTGCCCAGGCTGATCTCGAACTCCTGGCTTCAAGTGATCCTCCTGCCTCAGCTTCCCAAAGTGCTGAGATTACAGGTGTGACCCACTGCATCTAACCCATATATAGCCTACTCTAAATTGCTTTTCAACAGGCAGCAAGGAGAGGCAAAATAAACTGGACTGAGGAGTCCTGGATCTAGGCATATACCCTTTCTAGGTCTCATTTTCTATATCAGTCAGCTATTGCTACAATTAACAAACTACCCTGAATCTCAGTGGTTTATGACAAGAAGCATTTATCCTCATGCTAATAGGTCTTTGGGTCAGTCGTGGTTCAGCTAGTCTGGGCTGGGCTTGGCTAGGAAGCTCCACTCTGGGCTCAGGATTGTGGTCTTTATGTTCCAGGATATGGGGTGAAGAGGCAGCAGCAACTCAGGGCATGTCATCTCAAGGTCACTGGAGTGCACGGGGCCAGCCCAACCATACGAGCACGTTTTAAGTCTCTGCTTGTATCATGTTTGCCAACACCCCATTCATTAAAGCAGCTCCCAGGTCCAGCCCAAGTCTAAGGGGTAGAGAACTACACTCTGCCCCTATGAGGCCATGACAAAGCTTTGGATATTTAACTCTATTAGAGGTGGTGACAAATTAAGACTAGTTATTCAGTGTACCACAGCTTATCTGCTTTCAAAAAATTCCTTTGGCAAGATCTGACCAGGCCACATTCCGACCTTCTTTCAACCCCTCCCCCCATTTCCCTCACCTTACTTTCTTTCAAGGGAATGGTGGAGCCTGTTGAATTGTATCAGGGACTGGGTGGGAGTCATTGGCCAGGCTTTCTACAAAACATTTTGGAAAACTTCACATTTTGGCCTGGAGTAAACTCAGATACTTCTTGTCACCTATGGCTCCAAATGAGTCCAGGTGGATTGCTGGAAAGTCTTCTTCTTCTTATTTTGTGTTGGAGTCTCGCTCTGTCGCCCAGGCTGGAGTGCAGTAGCACGCTGATGGCCACTGCAGCCTTGACCTACTGGGCTCAGGCGATCCTTCCACCTCAGACTTCCAAGTAGCTGGAACTACAGGTACGCACCACCATGCCCGGCTAATTTTTTGATTTATTGTAGAGATAAGGTCTTACCAAGTTGCCCAGGCTGGTCTCAACCCATGGGCTCAGGCAATCCTTTCACTTCGGCCTCCCAAAGTGCTGGGATTACAGGCATGAGCTACCATGCCCGGTCTCATTATTATTATTAGTTAGAGTTGTGGGGCATATGTAAGGATTTGCTATATAAGTAAATTGCGTGCAAGTGAGGTTTGGGCTTCTAGAAAGCCCTCTCTCCCCCTGGTGAAAAATCTTTTTAAAACATTCCATCCATTGCTCCCATTTGCAGAGGCTAGGGAACTTTGGGAAGATGCTCTGTTGTGTACATGTAACATGTGTCCATACCATAGGCCTGGCTTCCACTGGGAGGGGACATTTGAAGCGGGAGGCTCTCTGGCCAGTGGCTGCACACACTTTGCATATGGCCAGCTTTAGCAAGACACCTGTGACCCCAGATTCCCAGGCTGTCTGTTTTGCTGTCTTCATTTTCTTTCCTGCCTTAGTGATTGTTCCAAGAGGCTAGTTCACACCCTGCATGGGGCCACACCACACATATCTGTCAATAAGGCCTTTGGATCCAGGAGATAACGTCTCAGCGGGAGACCTAAAGTCAATAGATGCTAGCCAGCTCTATCAGGTTGAGGGCACTAAGCATGCAGGAACACCCTTGCTGCTTCAAGAAGGAATCTGACAAAGTTCACGCCACCTCCGGGGCTTTTGCAAGCTGTGTGTGTGTGTGTGTGTGTGTGTGTGTGTGTGTGTGTGTGTGTTCCTCACACTCTTGGGGAGTCCTCTAGAAACATAATTTGTCTTCCTCTGGTTCTACAGACTTTACTGAGGGCTCACTATGTTCCACAGAACTGTGGCCAGGTGTGGACCAGAGAGACTGACCCCTGCCCCAGTGAGATCCAATCACAGAACCAGAAGGAACTCTGGGGGCCACACCAGCCTGAGCAGCACATCTGGGTTCTGGCTCTGCCACTCACAAATGGAAGGACTATTTATGGAACAGTGACTCTGTGCTCAGGACACAGCGATGACCAAGACAAACAGGCCCCGTTGCCATGGAGTCTTAGTATTGTAGGGGGTTGCAGGTATTAAAAAATAGGCAAGTAAAGAACCATAATATGTCAGGTGTTGATGAAGAAAATAAAATGGTGGTAGAGTGGGAAATAATAGGGGGTTACGCTGGATGGGCTGGTCAGGGAGAACCCCCTGAGGAGGGGGCATTTGACATTAACTAGCTGTTTAACAGTAAGCTGTGTCTCCTTCTTCAGTCTTTTCGTTACATAGACAAGGGGTGTGGATTACAGACTCTCTGGGCCTGCCTAGCTTTGACATACAATGATTTTATCTTCTGCAAGATTCTTTTACTCAGTCCTAAAAAAGAAAAAAATCAAGCCAATTATACCATATGATCTCTGTGCTCCCCCAGGGTCACCAGATCCTATATTTGTAGGACAGAGATGACAGGAGCAGAGGACCAGCGCTTTTATTCTGTAATCTTCATTCCCAGGTGCTGTCCCTTCTGACCCTCCTCAGTTCCTCCCCAGATGCAGCTGGGTTGGAACCCCTGACCCAGGGGCGGTTCTCCAAGGGCCTCCTTGAGGGCTGGCCCACCTTCTCCTGGGTCTGTATCCCTGAGCCAGAGCCTGGAATGTTGAGAGGCCCATTGAGATAAGACTCCCAGACAGCTACATTTTCTCTGTGGGACTGGGGAGTTTCTGCATGAATCCTGCCAGGCCCCATGTGATTGGGTGGAGGTTGTGAGGCCAAGCGAGGTGTCCATGCTGCTCTCTCTCAAGCTCTCTGCAGAGCTTCTGGGAGCCTCCCCCGTTCTCTGGATGCTGCAGTGCGCTTAGATTCTGCAGGGTGGAGCCTCCCTGGAGACACAGCTGTTTGGGCACTGATCAGGCCATGAGGGTGGTGATGGTGGGGGATTTGGCCTGGGAGATCACGGTTGGTCTTCAAGATGCCCTGCATTCCACTGAGTCCTGGGCATCCAAAGCAGGGGTGGGGTGGGGCAGAGGACCACCAAACAGCTAAAAAGAACAGATGATCATGCCTCTCACACGCCTCCCCTGACTCTACATTATGAGGGTGCTGCTTCTTGATCTCAAAAGTCTATAATGATCTATGTGAAACATCACTACAGTAGTGAGCTAAAGCCTTCATCCTGGCCCCAGCACCTGGCATTGCCCAGCCCTGCCAGCAGCCCCAGCAACCATAGGAAAAATGTCCCCATCGGCCTCTCTGGTGGCCTCCGGGACACCATTCTTAAAGAAACACGGCCCCCTGCCATTGGAGTCAAAGTCACTAGCTGCTCACAGCAGCCCACAGACCACTTCTGAGGCTGGAACAATTGAGAGATGCTGCCTTTATCTGTACTTCATTCTTGCTGACATGATGCAGGGCTGGACCCTTACTGGAAATTCAGTTGTTCCCTAAACCTGAAAGGAGACAGAATGTTCTTGGTTAGGCAGTGCATGTGGACATCGGCTTTCCCCAGGATTGAAGGGGAGGAGAAGAGGCTGCTGGCCTCTCTCTCTGCATCTTGAGCAGTGCATCTCTGTGTCCTGCTGCCCATGGGCTGCATTTGCTCCCCACGCTCTGAAGAAAGATGTCTGGTTTGCTCTTTGCAAAAGGGCTCTCCCTGAGCTGGGACCAGCACTGATTTTTCAAGCTCGCAGTTTTTACTGATGCTCTTACTTAATCCTCAGAGAGATTGTCTCCTTGCTTTTTGCTCCAAATACTAATAATATTTCAGGATGGCTCCTCCTGACCACATAGCTCCCATCCTGTCACCTTCCATGGCTGGGCATAGAGAAGGCTTCTCTGGCTTCTGAACCAGGGCCCCTGTGTTCTAGCCAGGATAGTCTCCTATGCATGGTGTGGCTTTGGGCAAATCTTGGCGGTTTTCTAGACCTCACATTCCACATCTTCAAGTTGCTAGCAGAGATGGGGTACCTGGGAAATGCAAAGTAGCTCCTTGTTTCTCAAAGTACGGTCCGTGGACCAGCAGCGCTGGTGCTTCTTGCATTAAGAAATGCAGAGTGTAAGAGATGCTCCAACCTGGACTTACTGGATCAGAATCTGCATTTTGACAACACCCTCAGATTCACTGGCACATTAAAGTATGAGAAGAGCTGGTACAAGTGATAGGCAGTTACTTTGCTTAAAGTTTTGCCAATATACTAAGAGCAAAGGGAATTTCTGAGATTCTTGGGTGAAGAAATTAATACAATGTTTAAAAAACTTGCAGTGGGCAGACAGAGACTGAAGGGGAAGGCTGGTCAGGGAATGGATGACCAGGTAGCTGCAGCTGTCTGGGTGTGGCCATGGGGACCTGGCAGAGGGTGAAGAGTGCGGGCTTGGTCTGCTTTGTGTTGCTGAGGAAGAATCGGTAAATCTCGGTGACACATTGGATGGGGGAGGCAGTAGGGAGGAGGAGGCTGACACAATTTAAGTTCATGATTCCTTGGTCCTTCAGATCTAATTCTGTGTGTGAGGCCCCAGGCTGGCCTCACTGTTTTATTTCTCTCTATCTCCAGGCTGGAGAGCAGTGGCATGATTACGGCAATCACAGCCTCGACCCAGTCTTCCCAGTAGCCGGAACTACAGGCATGTGCCATCATGCCTGGCTAATTAAAAAAAAAAAATTTATTATATAGACGAGGTCTCATCAGATTGCCCAGGCTGCTCTCAAACTCCTGGGCTCAGGCAATTCTTTCGTCTCTGTCTCCCACGTGCTGGGATTACTGGTATGAGCCACCACACCTGGCCTTACTGTTTTATTAAACAGAGGTGGCTTTTATTTTCAAGACATTCTGACTTGTCCTAATTGAATCCTAGAACAGGAAGCAAGAAGACAAGGGCTCTAGAGCTTACGAAGATGATGTGTTTCAGTTACCCTGGACTCTGTTGCACACTGAAAACCTCTGGGAGCCTTTAGAAGTTCTGATGCTTAGGCCAGGTCCCAGGCCCACTAAATCAGAATTGCTTGGGTGGACCCAAGTGGTTCTGATCCTCTGCTTTTGTCTCTGTAGTCCAAGGTGGGGCAGGAGCTGGGGACCACTGGATGTGTGACTGCTGACCAGATCTGGGGTCTGGTGCTTCTGCTGCACTGTTGACAAGCAGCCTGGGCCAGGACTGTGGGGCAGGAGGGGCTGGGAGAGGTGGAGCCTCTCCTGACACCCCTAGGAGAAGGCAGACTTGTGCCTATGAGGGTCACACCGAGGTTCCTTTCCAGATGGAAATACTTCCAAACTCAGGGATTAAGGGATATTGAAAACAAAAAGCCCTCTAGAAAGGGACTAACCTCATTTTCTCAGAGGTAAAGACTGTCCTTGGCAGTTGAAAATGGCAGATTTGACTCCATGGATGACTAACATCCCTTACGGGGTGTATATACCTGTCCACGCGTGCCTCTGGCAGGGATTTAAACGTTCCACACTTTTCCACGAATCCTAAATCAAGTGGATTCATCCCAGCCCTTGGTGAAGCCTAAGAGCTGGCGAGGCTTATGTTAAATCACCCTCTCTGGGCTCCTGTTCCTGACCTGACAGTCACAAATCCCCCTTAATGAGCACTCCGGGAGAAGCCAAGGCCTGCTGTGCGCTAAATTAAGAGCTGAGTGGGTCCGGGGCTGGAAGAGGGAAGTGTTTGCTTTGGCTGAGGAGGTGCCTGGGCCCTGGCCTGCATGTTTGCCTGGCGGGGTAGCCTGATAAGCGGGCCATGTATGAAGTGCTGCGTGGTGGGACTGGGACCATCTGCCATGTGTTCACAGAGGTCGTTCCTGTTGACCCTTCAGGACCTGGCAGAGGGACTCCTTGTCAACCTGTCTTTGGCTTCCTTTGCAGTCCCATGGTCACTTAGAAACCAGAATTATTTTTCTTCCTTTAGGAATAAAAAATTGAGCCCGGGAGCTTTTGTTTGCTTTGATGAATTACTTCCAGGCTGCTGTTTGTTTGGAGAACAGAGCTCCCCAGCTGCAGGGTGGGTAGAGGCTGTGGTCACTCCCCTCCTGTCGAGGCTGGTCCCTTTTCCTGAGGCTGAGAGGAGAACTCCTGACAGCAGAGTGGGCACATCTTGGTAGCTACAGTTCTTCAAGACAACGTGGCGCAGTGGAGAGAGGGCAGAAAACCTGGATCACCCTGGTACTGCCATTTGCCAGTTGTTAACCTTGGGCAAGTTATTAAACTTCTGCGTGCCTCAGTTTCCTTACCTGTCAACAGGGGGATCATAAACTTGGCTCTGCATGCCTTACAGGGGTGTTGAGAGCATCAGATGAAACAATACAAATAAAAACAATTTATAAATGGTAATCTGACAAACAAATATTTTTTTTTTTTTGAGTTGGAGTCTCACTCTGTCGCCCAGACTCTGCTGGGCTCCGGCGATCCTTCCACCTCAGCCTTCCGAGCAGCCGAAATTATAGGCATGCGCTACCACGCCCGGCTGATTTTTTGATTTATTGTAGAGATGAGGTCTCGCTGCCCAGGCAGGTCTTGAACCCACAGGCTCAGGCAATCCACTCACCTCAGCCTCCCGAAGGCGCGGGATTACAGGCTGAGCCACCGAGCCCGGCTGACATACAAATTTTAATACAAGTGCCCGCCCTTTCAACTTTCTGGACTGTCCAGGGACAATGTTAGCAGGAGAGCACCATTCTGACATGGAGTTTGGGCTTATGCCTCTTCTCTTTTGGGAGAGTTGAATAATAACATCTCTCTCAAATGTGCAAAGGCTTAGTGAACGTATCTAAAAATGTTACTTGCCTGTAGGCCTTCTAAGGGCAAGAACGCTGGTTTATTTCTGCTGGATGTGGTGACAGAGGCCAAGGTGAGAGAATTGCTTGAGCCCAGGAGTTCGAGATCAGCCTGGGCAACATAGTGAGACCTCATCTCTACAAAAAACTCAAAAAATTAGCCAGGCATGGTGGCACGTGCCTGTAGTCTCAGCTACTTGGAAGACTGAGGTAGATAAATCGCCCGAGCCTAGGAGGTCCAGGTTGGGTTGAGCTGTAGGTAGGCCACTGCACCATAGCCTGTCTCGTCAAAAGAGTAAGTTCCGGACTCAAAAAACCAAAAACAGAAACACAAGAATGCTGACTGATTTCTATGGATTGATTCTATGATTTCTATCTTCCAGGGCAGGGGGTCTCCTAGCCCCTCCCTCCGCTTTCCTTTTCAAGGAAGCTCCTCCTGCAGCTCTGTCCCCCTCTCCTGCTGTGGCATCAATTTTCCTCTTTCTGATGTTTCAGTATATAAACATGCCTTAATAGGAGCTATTTAAACAGACAAGACTCTCCCTCTGGGCTCCTGCCTCCCTTTAGCTCCAGTCCCAGTTCCCTGTTCCTGTTCCACCTGTCTCTGCTTCCTGCCTCAGCTTCCTCCCCCAACCCCCTTCAGCCACTCTCAGGCCACTGCCTGAATGGCGCTAGTCCATGGCCACCTTGATATGGAAAATGGCCAGTGGTCACCACTCTGCCTTTGTCCTTGCTTGTTCCCTGTCCAGCAGCCACTCTGACCTCCTTCTCACCCTGTGACCAAGCCAAGCTCCCTCCCCTCCAAGGCTTTCCACTTTCAGCATGGACCGCATACTCCCAGAATGCTGCACGGCCTCTCCATTCTCATGAGTCAGCCATCAATTTAAAGTTCTCTTCTCCAGAGAGGCCTCTACCACCTAGCTAAAAGCCGTCTTCCCAGTTGCTGTCTGCAACATTACATAGTTGGGCGATTTCATAACACTTATTGGCCCTTCAAATGATCTTATTTATTTGTTCACTGAAGCCTTCCTCCTCCTAGTATGTCATTTTCTCGAGGACTAGACTCTGTCTTGTTCCCTGCTGTAGCCCTAGCACTAGGAGTTGTGTCTGGCATACAGAGGTGCCCAATAAATGCAGTGTTTGCTGACTGACTGGTTGTTCACTACTTTTCAGTGTCCAATACAGATCATTAGAGTATTTGGGGCATAGATGGAGCTTTGGAGATCACCGAATCTTTTCTTTTCTTTTGAAGGTCAAGATGTCACAGCAAGTTGGTGGCAGAGCTGGGCTGTCTCAGGCCTCAGAAAAGCCCTGATGAAGGTGCTGCTGGTCCTAGTGGTGAAGAGGAAACAGGAAGCAGGCTGCAGCCCAGATGGATGAGGATGATGCGGCTAGGGCCGTCCTTCAGTTGCAGTGCTCCAGGTATGCAAACCTCCCATGCAAACTGCAGACAGGTGACCCAGAAGCAGAGGGCAGGCCCCTCAGGGCACGTGTCAGTCATGGAACAGTTCAAGTCTGCCATTTCATACCATTAAGGAAGGGCGCCTTTCTGACATGTGAAGGCCGTTTGAGCCTGACTAATAGTAGCCTTTGGATTATTGGGATGACACTGAATGCAGGGCTGGGGTAAGGGACCCTAGGACTTGCCCTGTGGGTGTCTGGGGGATGGAAGGCAGAAGAAGAGAAGGCCCATCCACAGCAGATGGAAGATGGGTAGCTGCCAGGAGGAAGGGGGCCGGCCAGTGGCGAAGGCCAGGAAGAGTCCTCTCCTTTTCTGCCTGTCGTCTGAATGCCAAGCATATTTCCTTTGTGATTATTTCTGTGTTCTCAAACAGGGGGCCTTCAAGTAGTGTTTACATAAACAGCTCGTTGGCAAGAACCACGCTGCTCTGATAGAGAGTGATATTCCCAGTGGGGGATTCCACAAGGCACCAACCTATCACTCAGGCCCTTCATGTGTGGGAAGGCTAAAGAAAGGAGAGAGCTGGCTTTGGAGACAAAGAACAAAAGGAGCTGCAGGTCTGGAAAAGGGAGAGAGAGCTCTGCCAGGAGGGGTAGGAGCATTGGGCCACCCACTCATTTGGGCACGTCTTGGTGTTTCTGGTGCTCCCCCTTGGGACTTGCTATCTATCTATCTATCTATCTATCTATCTATCTATCTATCTATCTACCTACCTACCTACCTACCTACCTGAGTCAAGGGTCTCACTTTGTTGCCCAGGCTGCAGTGCAGTGGCATGACCACGGCTCACTGCAGCCTCCCTCCTGTGCTCAGGTGATCTTTCTGCCTCAGTCTCCTGAGTAGCTGGGACTATAAGTATGAGCCAGCACACTCGGCTAATTTTTAAAATTTTTCGTAGCGATGAGATCTTGCTATGGTTGCCCAGCCTGGTCTCAAACTCCTGGGCTCAAGCAATCCTCTCACCTTGGCCTCTTAAAGTGCTGGGATTTCCTGCCCCCCCTTGGGGCTTTGTCTAGGAGCAAGCAGAGGTTGGCAGATGTGGGGTGATTGGGCGGCTGCTCCTGTGGCTTCAGGAACAGACAGGAAGCATCCTACTTCCTTCTCGTCCCCCTGCTTGCTCTGGCCTCTCCCTTCCTCCCCCACCCCAAGTGTTGGTGACCTGTGATGCACTCTGAGGGAGGTGCACTTACATTTCTTCTGCAAAATGCTCTGTCTGGCCCTGATAAAGGCCAGGATGTCGGAGTCTGTCTGGCTATCTCCGGTGAGAGGGACGGAAGACGTTGGCCTCTCGGGGATCCTGGGGACAACCACATGTCACACTTTACTGGATGCAGCACTTACCTTTCCAAAGTGCCTTTCCATTTTCAGTGACTGTTCTCATCCAGGACACTGGGCGACACTCCTTCTTCCTCCCTCCCATCTTCTTGTGGACCAAGCCTTTTATCATATAAATTGGGTCATGTCACTTCCTTCCTTAAGCCCTTAAGTGGCTTCTCATCACTCTCAGAATAAAAATCAAACTTGTCCCGTGGAGGCAGGACATTTCAGAATAGGCTCTGTGTGATCCGGCCCTGGGTTCCCTAAGCTCCAGCCACCCTGGCCTTCTTTCTGTTATTCGAATATACGAGGCTCCTTCCAGCCTCAGGGCCTTTGCTTTAGCCCTTTTCCCTTCCTGGACTGCTCTCCCCTAGAACTACACATGGCTGAAATACGTCTTCTTTCCCCTCACCACCACCCTTTCCTCACCACCACCCTTTCCATTCCCTCATCTCTGACTTAACCAAACCAACCCCATTTTACTTAGGGCCTGTCAACTCCTGCTACAACTTAGATGTGGTATCTTTTAGTGCTGTCTCACTGCACCTCCATCCCCCACAATGGCTTATCTAGTTGCCCTTAAGGCAGAGATTAAAAACAGAACCATATTTAGCTAAACTGCCCCAGAGAAAATAAACTACCTTTCCCGGCCTCCTTTGTGGCTACGTGTGACCACACGTGACCAGATTCTGGCTAATGAGATTTATGCATAGAAGTGTTGCCTTGGGTAGGATATCCAGGAAATCCCTAGGAAAGGGAGGGATGTTATGTGCCCTACTCTCTTCCCTTTCTCTATCCATCTTCCACATACAGCATGTCCCTTAAGAAAATTTAGAGCAGCCGGGCTTGGTGGCTCAGCCTGTAATCCCACGCTTTGGGAGGCTGAGGTGAGTGGACTGCCTGAGCCTGAGGGTTCGAGACCGGCCTGGGCCATGTGGAGAGACCTCATCTCTACAATAAATCAAAAAATCAGCCGGGCGTGGTAGCGCATGCCTGTAATTCCGGCTACTTGGAAGGCTGAGGCGGAAGGATCGCCGGAGCCCAGCAGGTTGAGGCTGTGGTGGCCGGAAGCGGCCACTGCACTCCAGTCTGGGTGACAGAGTGAGGCTCCAACTCAAAACAAAAAAAAAAGAAAAAGAAAATTTAGAGCAACACACTGGCCCGGCTGTGCCCATCTTCCATCCTCACACCTGTCCCAACATAGCAGTAGACAGTAGCCACTTCCTTAGAAGGCAGTGAGGACTGCACATGACAATGATCAACCATCCTTATAGATACTTTTTGGTGTGGGTATTTCAGCCCCAGCTGCAGCTCAGCCAGAAGTGCTAGAGTGGAATTGGTGGGCCCAGCAGCTGCGGGGAGCCTCTCAGTGTGCCTGGAGCTTGGGGATCTCAACGCCAGGCAGTTTTGGGAGAAGAGTAGGTCAGCCGGGTGAAGAAGGCGGAACAGCCATTCTAGACAGAAGGCACAAGTAATGTTGTGGCAGGATGCAGTAAATGCTCAAATATATTTCTTTCTTTTTTTTTTTTTTTTTGAGTTGGAGTCTCACTTGGTCGCCCAGACTGGAGTGCAGTGGCTGCTCCCGGCCACCACAACCACGACCTGCTGGGCTCTGCGATCCTTCCGCCGAGTAGCCGGAATTACAGGCGCATACTACCACGCCCGGCTAATTTTTTGATTTATTGTAGAGATGAGGTCTCGCTGCCCAGGCGGGTCTCAAACCCGCGGGCTCAGGCAATCCACTCACCTCAGCCTCCCAAAAGCGCGGGATTACAGGCTGACCAACCGAACCTGGCTCAAATATATTTCTTGTATGATTGAGTGAATAAACGCATGTAGCTGCTTCAGGATCGGCAGTTGGCCTCATGGCCATCACCTGGGATGGCTCCCACTAGCCCAGCGGCAGGAAGGGAGTTGGTAGCAGTTAAAGGTATTTCCTTTTGAAAGGCAAGTTGCACCTTTAAAGACCCACTAGGCGCTGGCCACGTTTTGTTTAAGAAAGGCCAAATGGCCCAGAGACTGGCCATTTCAGGGAAATGGAAAAGCTCTTATCTAAAGTCCCCCTTCTGAAGTTGACGGTTAACAATCCTGCAGTTCCTGGAAACCATTTGTTCTTTGAAAAATCTAATTTTGCTGAGTACAACCTTGTAAAATTCCAAAGGAAGTATGTAATCACTCAGCACGACCCTCTCCCTTACTTAAACAAGGGTATAAGACCCCACTTCTGTTCTGGGGCACTCGATTTGGATGCATTAGACCCTCAGGTCCACTGGGATGGCCAGTGTAATAAAGTGCCACTTCCTATGATAGTCTCGGTGTCACGATCTCTCTATTTTACAATGTGTGCAGGGGAGAGGCCTCATCCTCTCTGCTTGGCCCCGAAACAAAGGCTTCTGGACTGTGAGGTAGGCTGGGCAGCTCTGTATTCTGCTGGGTGCTCTGCAGGTGGGGAGTGGGCAATGTTGGAACCAACCTGGGCCAACTCTACTTTTATGCCCCCCAGCTACATCTATCCACAAGAAGGTGTGAAGCAATTGTATGCACCAGGCCCCAGGGACCCTGGGAGAAAAATCCCCTACCCTTTGAGAGGGGATTCCCAGGGGACCAGGGCAAAGGCTATCCAGGGGCTCTGTGGATAAGGGGCTTCTTGAGGGGAGGGGACTGGCCTTGTAGGCCCACTGCACCCACCACAGGGACTGTCACAGGTGTCAGAGGGAGGAGGAGACCACAGACCTGTCTTCCAGGGGCATGCTGGTGCTGCTCCATTCCTGACTGTGTTGGCTGGGGCAGGGCGAGGGCAGGATTCTCCTGGCATTCACGTCACTGCAAAACACAAACCGACCATAGCAAAAGGTACAGGGAGAAGTCTGTAGAAGAGAAACTCAGAGTGTGCATTTAGAGGCTGTTGTGGACTGAATGTGTCCTCCTCATATTCATAAATTGAAGCCACAATCCCCAATGTGATATTTGGAGATGGGGCCTTTGGGAAATCATTAGGTTTAGATGAGGTCCTGAGGGGAGAAACCCCCATGAGGGGGTTAGTGTCCTTACAGGAAAAGGATGAGAAACCAGACCTCTCTGCTGTTGAGGACACAGCAAGAAGGAGGCATCTGCGAGTGAGGAAGGAAGCCCTTACCAGGAACTGAATCTGCTGTGCTTTAGACTGAATGTTTGTGCCCCCCCAAATTCATATGTTGCAACCCATCCCCCAAGATAGTGGTATTGGAGGTGGGGCCTTTGGGAGGTGATTAGATCGTGGACTTTGAGTGCTCGTGAATGGAGTGAGCTCCCCTATAAAAGAGATCTCAGAGAGCTCCCTTGCCCCTTCTATCATGTGAGGATAAAAGACGAGGGCAGCGTCCATCAGCTAGGAAGAGAGCCCTCACCAGACACCAAATCTGCCAGCACCTTGATCTTGAACTTCCAGCTTCCACAATTGTGAAAAATAAATGTTGGTTTTTTGAGCCATGGTATTTTGTTATATCAGCCTGAGCAGACTAAAGCAAGAGCCAAGAATCCTCTGTCTTGCATGATTTACACATGAATCTTCCTTGTTAGAGAACTGCATGTATTGGCTGTGGAAGTTGAACAACAAACGGCAATGACCACAACAGTCGTTTATAGACACTGTCTACAAGCCAGCCCCTAGGAAAGTGCTCTGTTAAACAGCATGCCATTTAGTCCTCTCAATGGCCTAAGAAGTAGATGTCATTATCCCTGTTTTGTAGATGAGAAAACTGAGGCTTAGAGAGGTCAAAGAAATTCTGAAAGTTACCCAGCTGGCAAGTGGCAGAATCTGGAGGTAATCGTGACCCTGTGGGGCTTCAGAACCTGCGCCGCAGCCCCAGTGCTTTATTAATTAGGGTCAACTCTGCGGTGTTCTAGGAAGCACATACTGACTTACCTGAGTGCCCGGGGTGGCTCCAGCTGACCGACTCCATGGGCCCTGTCAGATCTGACAACCCACCAGATGTAGCTATGCCCATTTACCAGGCTACCTGACGTGTGCTCCTGGAGTCAGGGAAGGGGCCATGCTCATGGGTGGGACAAGCAGTTTGTCAGCCTGTGGAGTACCTGGCTGCATGCAATGGAACCCAGAAGGTCCTCTTGGGAGGCAAAGAGGTGTGTAAACACAGCTCATTCCACGTGCCTCTGATGGCTAGGTCCCAAGTCTAAGTCTCCTACATTGTGCTGTAAGGACTCAGTGGTGTGACCCTCTTCCTTGCTTTGAGATGGTCCTGCCTGGAAGAGGCCTAAGAGGTTGCCTTTTGCAGTTTGGGACACTCAGACTGAAAGGCAGGCTAGGGCTCCAGATAGGTGAGCTTGTCCCACCAATGAGTACGGCCCGTTCCCCATCTGCAGCCGTCTGTCCTCCCATCTCAGCCAGCGGCAGGGCCTCCTACCCTGGGCCTTCTTCCATGATCAGGACCGTGGGTCAAACAAACAGGAGAGGAAATCAGAACTTGGGGCTTCTCCCCTCCTCCCACTGCCGCCCATTTCCTAGCAGTGCAGAGACTGTCTACAGTGCCCTTGGAGAGTGGGGAGGATCTCTGTGCGGGCTCTGAGGAGGACTCCTGTAGGACCAGAGGCTGCCACAAGGTGGCAGGCTCCGCAAGCTTTCCTTTGGAGAACAGTGGCCAATTCTCAGGGCTCCTGCAGAGCGGTTCCTGGCGTCGGGCTGGAGAAGGGAAGGAGAAAGGGCTGTCCATCTTTCAGGTGCTTCGATTATAGTGGGTCAGGGTCACCTTGGAAGCCGTAGCTAGTCTGCAAGGCCAAGTCATCGGCGCACAAATGCCTCACTGACTCACTGGTTTCGCAGCGGAGCCTTGGCTCAGGTTCCAGGGAGAGTTCAAAGGTGCCCAACTGTTGGGGACTGGGAGCAGGTGCAAGAGGAGGAGATGGGGGCAGGGCAGAGGGGCGTGATCACGCAGTGGCAGACGGGGAAACCTGGCGCCCTAAGCAGGCCCAGCTGCCCTCCAGTGGCCTCCACTGGCTCCTGCAGGAGGATGGCGAAAGGGAAGGCGGGGGATTCTGAGGGAAATAAGTACCCCAGTCCCTAAGCTGCTCCAACGTTCTTGGATGCCATGGACTTCCCGTAACTCTCGGGGTTGTACCACGGATGGCCTTTGCCCTCTCTCTTTGTCCAACCAGGTTTTGACACGGAATTCATTTCTCATGTGGACATCCCTCTAGACAGAGAACACACCAGCCATCAGAATGAATTATCTTCTTTTTAATAAGAACTAATAAGCAATATTAATAATAATTAGGCCTCCTGGGTTGCCAGTGCGAATGTTTAGTTGGATCAGCCTTCAGGATCTGAGCTCCCCCAGAGAAGTGATGAGTCAGGTTTTTTCAGGACCTGACGAGCAGGGGACCAGTTCCACTGTGCAGTGATTCCACATGAGCATTCCCCGAGCTCAGGTGGAATCGGCTGTTTGGGCTCTCTCTCATGCTGCATGGGAACACTTCTCTGCTCATAGAACTACAGTGTTAGGGGACCTTGGCACATCTCACAGATGAGGTGAGGGGATCCCAAAGTGGGGAGTGGCTTGCCCAAGGGTGCCGCTTGGAAGAGCAATGACTGAGATTCATGTGGTTAAAGTCTCAGCTGAAGGGACTCTTCCAAGGTGACCGATGATGGTCTGAACCTTCTGGAGCCCAACTACAGGGCTAAGGGTCTCTTGTGAGCACATCCAGGGATTCTCTTTAAATCAGGATACCCGAGAGTGTGCAGGAATGCCGGGGCCAGGACAGGTTCCACAGGGTGGAGGCTGGGGGAAGGGCACCATTCTGATGAGTGGTTTCCTAAGGACACCCTCGCAGGCCTTGGCCAGGGGTCACTTCTTAGACCTGGGCCATGGCAGACACAATCTTGGAGATGCTGCCAGGCTGTCAGGCTGGCAGGTAAGACTGACAGCAGCATGGACAAACAGATGAGTGTGGTGAGTGACAGCCTTGGTGGATGGGGAGTGAGACAATGGGAAAGCACAGAGCAGGAAAAATGAGCCAGGGAATTCGAGGGGGGAATGAAGGCAGGCCGGGCAGATGGCGGAAGATGGGAGGCGGGGCAGAGAGAGGAAGGAAGAAGAGCTCCACGCGGAAGGGGATCGTCTCGGTTTAACTTGAAGTTCTTTGTGTTATGAATCACAGAGTTACATCTCATTTCCTTTCGGGGCCTTGGTGTCCTCATTTGTGGAGCGAGGGGGTTGAACTTGACTTTTTTCAACTGAAATGGCGAGGGCTAATCATAGGATGTTTTGGGTTTCCCCTCCTTAGGAGACTAGCCTTTTAAGGAAAGGAAACTTTTGCTCTTTGGAAATCCCAGCCTCTTGGGAAAAAATCAGACTGCGTGGACACATCAGAAGAGTGGATACCCCAAGCAGGAGGACCTGGTGTTGGGAAGAATATAAAGAAAGCGTGTTTGTTTAAAATATTACAGAATATGGGCATAAATGCCAATTCCTACCACACAGCATCATGTACACGTGTCCCTAAAGGGCAGTCATGGATGCAAAACAAAATTGCTGTAAGGAGTGAAGGTAGTGACAGGGCTGGCAGGCCTGGGTTCAAGTCCTAGTCTCACCAAGAGTAGTTGGGTGGCCTGGAGCAAGTGATTTAATCTCTGTGAGCCCAAGGCTTTTTACATGTAAAGTGGGGAGCAATGATATTTCCTCACCTGTTTGGTGCCTGGCCCATACGGACCTTCAAAGAATGACAGGGGAAATAATTCCAGTAAGAGAAGAAAGCCATGGCTGTCTCCTCTGAGCTTACCCTCCACTGCAGACTGTGCACAGGGAATGGCTGAGATGCCATGATGATCTGGGATAAGATCTCCTCCCTGCCTCACCCTGTCAGAGCTCTCTGGGCTAATCTTTACTGCCAGCATTAAAAGGCAGGCGATGTTTTTGTCACCAGCAGAGCGAGCCCTGAGACCTCGCTCCCTCTTCTGAACTCCAGCAGGGACACTTTTTTTTTTTGAGTTGGAGTCTCACTCTGTCGCCCAGGCTGGAGTGCAGTGACACGCATGCTCACAGCCACCCCAGCATCGACCTTCTGGGCTCCAGCGATTCTTCTGCCTCAGCCTTCCAAGTTGCTGGAACTACAGACGCATGCCACCACGCCTGGCTATTTTTAATTTTATTGTAGAGACGAGGTCTCGCCAATTTGCCTGGGCTGATCTTGAACCTGTGAACTCAGGCAATCTACTCACCTCGGCCTCTCATCCCAGCCTCTCAAAGTGCTGGGATTACAGGCTGAGCCACTGAGCCCGGCCCCACCCATGAATCTTAGCACTCACACTACTATGGGGGAGGAAATTTGGGGGAGCCGGCCACTCCCAGTTGAGCTGTCTTGACAAATGCCCTTCAGGATACTCAATAATCACAAGGTTGGAGCATCCAACCAGAGTGCTGGCGCCACCACAGGTGACAGAGCTGAACAGCACCCCACAGCCTGCCTGAGAGCAGCCATCTTCCCAAAGATTCTCCTTCCAGTAGTCAAGCCCCAGGGGGCTTGGGGTGGGAGCAGGATTTTGGGGAAAGCTCCCATGGGTGATCTAATGCACACCTTTGAAGTCCAAGGTTCTGAACTTCAGGATTAAGGTTTTCTTGGCAAGCGTGCTCTATTTCTACCTTATAGCCTCGGGTCTAATGACTATATTTATTGAGCTTTTTTGTGACACCGCTGGCCATCACAAACACACACACATGCGCGCACACACACACACACACACACACACACACACACACACACACACTTTAGTGTTTTTGAAGCAAAAGAAAAGTTAGACATGGGACTTCCTATTCGGAAGGACATTTCTACCAGTAGGAGTTATGCAGGAGATCAGAAAAGCGGCTGGGGAGATAACACTGAACCTCACAGCTGGAAGGACCTTATTCTCCCATGGCAGACACACGAGGGACTCAGAATGGAGTCAGAGCCAGGACTGGCGGAAGCTCTGTCCTCTTAGTTGTGTACTTCAGACATGCTCTGTGGGGTCCCGGTTTTTTTTTTTTTTCAGGGGAGGGTGGGGGCTCTGTGTGGGGAAGGAGTCAGGTATATAGAGGTTGCAAATACAAATTCACTTTCCTCTAAAAGGTTGGCAGGTGCCCAGGTGAACACACAGGTGGGCCAGATGCAGAACATTAATGCCAAACTGCCTGCATTGCCCTGCAACAGTGCAGCTGCCTAAGGACATTGCTTTTTCAAATTTTAATTTTTTGTAGAGACAAGGTCTCTCTGTGTTGCTCAGCCTTGGCTAGTCTTGAATTCCTGGGCTCAAGCAATCCTCTCATCCCAACCTCCCAAAGTGTTGGGATCACAGGCGTGAGCCACTGTTCCTACCCCATTGCCTTTTAATTTTGTTATTATTCTTTTTAATGAAAAGACTATTTCTTAGAGAAATTTCAAGTTTACAAAAAATTGGGCGGAGAGTACAGAGAGTGTCCACATACTCCCTCTTTCCCCTTTACAGTGTTCCCTATGTGATATCTTGCATTAGTTGGTTAATTTGTTACAATTGATGAACCAACATAGACACATTTTTACAAACTAAAGTCCACAGTTGACACAGAGGTTCACTCTTTATGCTGTAGTTCCATGGATTTTGACAAATGCATAAAATCATCTATCCACCATTATAGTATTACAGAGCATAGTTGCACTGCCCCCAAAATTCCCTATGTTCCACCTATTAATTCTTCCCTCCCCACAAATCTATGGCAATCACTGATTCTTTTACTGTGTCCATAGTTTTGCCTTTTCTAGAATGTCATGTAGTTGGCATTATGCAGTATGTAGTCAGATTGGCTTCTCTCTCTCTCTCTCTTTCTTTTTTTTTTGTAGAGATAAGGTCTCACTATGTTACCCAGATTGGTCTCGAACTGAACTCTTGGGCTCAAGCAATCCACCTGCCCCAGCCTCCCAAAGTGCTCAGATTACTGGCATGAGACACAGTTCTTGTGCCCAGATTGACTTTTTTCACTAAGCAATGTTGTATTTAAGATTCCTTTGTGACCTTTTCATGGCTCAATGGCTCATTTCTGTTTTTCTTTTCTGAGTTGGGATCTCACTCTGTCATCCAGGCTGGAATGCAGTGGCATAATCACAGCTCACTACAGCCTGGACTGCCTGGGCTTTGGCAATCCTTCTGCCTCAGCTTCCTGAGTAATGGGGATTACAGGCACATGCCACTACACCTAGCTAATTTTTTGATTTTTTTGTAGAGATGAGGTCTTGCTACGTTGCCCTGGCTGGTCTCAAACTCTTGGACTCAAGCAATCCTCCTGCCTTGGCCTCTCAAAATACTGGAATTACAGTAATGAGCCACTGCACTTGGGCACCATTTCTTTTCATTGCAGAATAATATTCCATTGTATGAATGTACTACAGTTTGTTTATACATTCACCTTTGGGAGGACTTCTTGGTGGCTTCTAGCTTTTGGCAATTACAAATAAAGCTGCTGCAAACAATCATACACAGGTTTTTGTGTGGACACTCATGTGGGTAAATACCTAAAAGTGTAATTGTTGGATTATGGTAAGATTACGTTTAGTCTTGTAAGAATCCATTCACTCTGTCTTTCAAAGTGGCTGTACCATCTTGCATTCCCACCAGCAATCAATGAGCGTTCCTGTTGCTCCCCATCCTTATCAGCATTTGTTATTGTCAGTTTTTTGGATTAGAGCCATTGTAATGGGCTGTAGTAGTGTCTCACTGTTGTTTTGTTTTGTAATCCCCTAGTGATATAGGATGTTGAAGATCTTGCCATGCACTTATTTCTCATCTGTATATTTTTTTTGTTGAGGTTCTCATTCCGATCTTTTGCCTGCCTTTTAATTGGGCTGTTTATTTCTTACTATTGAATTTTAAGAGTTCTTTTTATATTTTGGATACAAGTTGTTCATCAGAGGTGTGTGTTATAGATATTTCATCCCAGTCTGTGGCTTGTCTTTTCATTCTTTTAACAATATCTTTGTAGAGCAGTGTTTTCAATTTTAATAAAGTCTAACATCCATTTTTTCTTTCATGGATCCATGCTGCCTTTTAAAACACCAAGCTAGCCAAACAAAACACACTGTGCCAGTTGTTGACCCTGGGCTTAGGAGCTTACATAAGAGATATTCCCTAAAACTAGACACAAGCTGAAGTGCTAGCACTGGGGGCCAGAGTAGTGATGTGGGAAAGTCCAGGAAAAATATCAAAATGTCAAGCTGGGGTAGAGGGCTCACCGACTGGCCTTAAACAAGTTTTTTTAAAAGAATAATTTTAGATTTATAGAAAAGTTGCAAAGAGTACAGAGAGTTCCCACTTACCTAGCTTGCCCTTTTGTGCTTATTTATGTTAGCAAAATACATTTGTCACAATTAGTGAATAGACGTTGGTACATTATTTTTAACTAAAGTCCATCTTTTGTCTGAATTTTCTTAGTTTTTACTGAATGTCCTTCTGTTTCAGCATCCCCCAGGATGCCACGTTACATTTAGTCTGCGTGTGTCCTTAGGATCCTCATGGCTGTGACAGATTTTGAGAATTTCCTTGTTTTTGATGACCTTGACATTTTGAGGAGTGCTGGTCAGGTATTTTGCAGAATGTCCCTCAGTTGGGATTTGTCTGATATTTCCTCATTCTTCAACTGGATTGGCGTTATGGGTTTTTGAGAGGAAGATCGTGGAGGTAAAGTGCCATTCTCACCACATCACAGGTAATGTCTGACACCTTTTTTTAAAGCTCTATTTTACATTTTCAATGTGAAGGCTCAGAGACCCTTCAGATCCAAAGGATGGCTCCCTGGTGTCAAGACGGAGTTCTCACGCATGCTGCCTGTCCTCTGGCCTGACAGCACTGAGTCTCAGGGATGGAGGATGGCAGGAAGCAGGCATCATAGGCTCTACTCCCATGTGGTTGGAAAGAGACCGTAATGTCGCGTGTGGGGTGGTAGAGTCTACCCTGCTAGATCATCCTATTTATAGAAACTGGCTCTGACCACCTTCATGTGGTATTATGGGAGGCTGCCCACATCTCCTCTGAAACCTTGCTAGGACAAAGAGCCCCTCTGTATCTTGGCAGGTCAGCCACACTCCCATCCTATCATCAACACCCTCCTCCTTCCCAATCCCCCATTCCTCTTCCACACTATACTCCCCTCCCTCTTCCACCAAGGCCCTCCTCCCACTCAGGGGGCAGGACAGGGCTTGGTTGTTAAATCACTTGTCTCTTGTTACCACGGCAGTGGGTCTACTGGCTGTTAGAGTGAGAGACTGAAGGGGTGTGTGCTCAAACAAATTTGAAAACCACTCGCCTGAGTATCCACAATTGACTAAACAGTAAAAATAATTCATCTTTACAGATCATACGGCCTATAAAAGAGACATTTAGAGCTGCAGGAATGGGTTAAGGAGAGGGGTAGGGAGCTTTTTCTGGGTATCCCAAGACTCTTGGTGAGTTCTCTCCTCACCTTTTGTTACAGAGAAGCTGGGGCCGTTCATGTTGGGATTCAGATGTCTGAGTAAATGGCTTCATGATATCAAGTGAATTCACTGCTGGAGAATTCACCTGTGGGCCCAAGGAGTTTCATAGTGTTAGCATGAATCTAATGACACAGGAAGATATTCTTGGCGTAATTCTCAAGGGAGACAAGCTAGCTACAAAATTGGTATATACATTGTATATGGCAATAAATATACCTAGACAGAGTAATGACCATATTGATGGGCACCATAATATTCACTTTGGATGGTAGGATTATGGATATGTTTGATTTATTCTTTGTGTTTTTCAGTGCTTTCCAGGTTTTCCAAATTGAGTATCTGTTACTTTTTATAGTTAGCAAAAAATGTTTAAAATGCTATCTGACAGTTCTCCAGAAATCCTTTCTGGCTGAGCTTCTCCTTGTCCCAAAGACCCCCTCCCAGAGTCAGGAGAAAGCCACTGAGTACTTCATGTGGGGAAACAGCTCTTCCGTGGTACCCTGAAAGCCTCACGTGTCTCCACACAGGCCTCAGGAGTAAGGCTTGGATCGCAGTTCATCTAAGCCCTGGCCCTGGAACAGGAGAGCCAGGAGGCTGGTGAGTAGTTGCTACAGAGCTACTTTCTGCTTGCCTCCCAAATTTCCGGGAGGCTGTTCCAGGACAGTTTCTCATGGCCTCCCTTGTTCTGTTGGGGTTTTGGGCCCACTCAGGGTACAGACACAAGCCACAGAACTCTCAGGGGTGGCATGGCATGGGATCCTCCGCAGTAGGGTGTCCCACCATCCCTGTTGTTATCTTGTCCCTTTTGTTTCAGTGACATCCTGGGGGACAGGGCACACCTGGAGCTGACACCCTTGCCTACTCCGGCTTTCATTGTGTAAGTAAAAAGCTGCCTGAATCTGTCAGCCTTGCCTGGATACCTCCAGAGTCACACTGGATGACCCTGTTTTCCCATTCAGTGGCTGTATGCTCAGCGCTAGCTGTGGCCTCACTCACGAATGAGCCTACCAGGAAGCGCTCTTAATCCAGAGTCCATGGACAGAATCCAGGGGCTCTGCGAATACCCTTGGCTTCTACCTGAAATTTAGCATTTCTTTCACTGATGCATGTAGACAACCAACCACAGCAGTATTAGCAATACCTGTGACCTTGTTACCTAATAGAAACCACACATATTTTAATGTCACGATACAGTTGGTGCAGAAAGCTTGCATTTGTCATTACTCTGAAATCATGGTAAATATTGGGCCTACCCCTAGATTTTTAAAGTGGTATATAGATTACTATATCATAACTTTGATTTTAAATATTTTGATAATCGTATTTCAAACTAATTGATTTTCTTTGTTATTGTGTGCATTTAATTTGATCCAAATATCATTTTCTAATGTCCTGTCACATGGCCACTTGGTAACACACTGGTCATTACTTGGCTGTGTGCTTGGACAAATGCCTTCTGTGGTTCTCAGTTTCCTAGGTCTCACAATGAAGGGGTCAGCCTGTTAATCACTAGGGGTTCTGCCAGCCACACAAGTGATATGATTATGTTCATTTTGTCACTTCTATTATATCACAGCTGAGGAGTTACACAAGGATAATCAAAGCTGGGATTTTATACTAACACTTCTTAACAGGCTATTTTAGCCTTTGTAATATTGCAGAAAATGTCTAAGAACTTGTCTAGGAAATATGCAAAAATTTATCTGCAAATATGTTTTGAGTAGACAACTAGAAACAACCCAAATATTCAACAACAGGAGACTGGTTAAATGAATATAAATATATCCATATGATGGAACAGTAACAGCCATTCAAACAAAGCTATAGAATAAGAACATGGAAAAATAGTCATGCTATACAATTAAATCTTAAAAAAGCCATTTGTGATACAATCAACACGATTCTGTTTTTTATAAAAACATAGGAATGAATATGCATAGAAATAAAGACAAAATAATATAATCTAACATGTTAATATTGGCTATTTCTAAGTGGAGGGATTACAGTGATTTTTACTTTCTTCTTTGCTTTTCCACATAGTGACATTTCTATAATAGATATGCACATATATATGAGACTAATAAGAAAAACAATAAATGTTGCCTGTAGGCTATCACTGAAGAATATCACACAAAGCAATAATTGCAAACTCTTGGTTTTGGAGAGCTATCCCTCACTTTTTCACGCATCAGGTGGTTACTTGAGGCACAAGAACAAGGAAATAATGAACCTCAATCTTCCATAGTCCTTGCTACTAAATGAGCACCTGCTTCCCGAGTAGGGGCTGAGAGCATGTGGGCCCGTGGGCCAAACCTCCCGTTCTGTCTCCTGACAGCCCCTTGAGGGCTGTATACCTGCTTCCCCCAGCCGCTCTGATGTCCCCAGACCATACCTGAAGGTGAGCCGCCTCCTCTGTCCACCAGGCTTCAAACTCTTTCTGCAGCTTCACCTTGGCTTTGTCCATGAGCAGCTGCAGGTGCTCAATCTCCACCTTCAGGGCTTTCAGGCGAGTGAACATTGTTTTATACCTTTGGTGGAATCAAAGAAGAGTCAGTGTCCTGCCTTCTTGAGAGCACTGGTGTGGAGGCAGGGCTGTAGATGAACGGGACCTGTGCCCCAGCAGCCTGGCAGCAGTGCCCTGGCACCTGGGGACTGTGACATTATGGAAAGCTCACTGAGGCTGGGATATGGCTCCAGGGTCTGAGTCCATCATAGAGGAGCAGATTGAGGCATTTTTGTCCAGTAGGCCCAGTGAGATCTGTGTGGCAGATGAATAACCCTTCCTCCAAGAATGGGAACTATCATTTTTGAGCACTTACCAAGGGGCAGGCATTGCTCTAGGTGCTCAACATACATAAACTCATTTAATCCTCATCATAATCCTATAAGGACGATACTATTATTATGCTCTTATTTTACAGATTTGGAACTTGAGACATGGGGAGGATATATAACTTGCTCTACGGCACAGAGTTAACAAAGGAGCCAGGATTTTTTTTTTTTTTTGAGTTTCACTCCATTGCCCAGACTAAAGTGCAGTGGCACAATCACAGCTCACCGCAGCCTTGACCTCCTGGGCTCAGGTGATCCTCCTGCCTCAGCCTCCTGAGTAGCTAGGACCACAGGTGCATGCCACCAAGCCTGGCTTATTCTTTTATTTTTGTAGAGACAAGTTCTTGCTATGTTACCTAGGCTGGTCTTGAACTCCTGGGCTCGTGCAATCCTTCTGCCTTGGCCTCCCAAAGTGCTGGGATTACAGTGTGACCCACCATATCTGGCCAGAGCCAGGATTTGGGTGATCTGGTTCTGGAACCCATAGTCTTAACTGCCTCACCATTTGTTGGGTCACCTTCAAGCTCAGGATCAAACTGTATAACAAGTTTGTTACTGCATATAGTATGTTGGTTTTGGGACTGCTACGATGATTCAGAAACTGTTAGACAGGAAACAGTCCAACAGTCACGCTGAAGAGACAAGTTGGCCTCTGAGGTGATGTTGAGACTGGAACTGTGGCCCAAGGGGACAGGATGGCGGTGGAGTAAAGACACGAGACTGGGTTGGAAAGAGACTGGGGAAAATATGGAGCGAGGGAGAAGGTGGACAACTGGGGTGTGCCCCAAGGGAGTGAAGAGCAACAGTGGCCCTGTGGGGTAGGGCAGTCAGGGCATTCTGGGAGGAAACAGTGAACTGCTGTCTGGAGTGACCTGGAGACCAGTGCCGGGGACTTTGCGCTCCTGGGTTTGTGAGTGGGGGGTGGGACGCATGCCAGGCCAGCTGCATTGCAAAGACACCATGGGCTCCTTGAAACAGAGATGGTGATTTATTTAGGATTGCCAGAGCCTTCCCATGGCATGGAGGAGACAACACATATGGTGAGTGCACCAGTAATGATGAACTAAACAGTTTGACTGTGGTGTTGAGCGAGAGTGCTTCCATGCTGCGTATCAGTAATGGCCGCCTGCCTGTTTATGCTTGAAGCTCCTCTCTGTGTAAGTAAAATAATTTTGGGACCTTAAATGGCTACATGAGGGTAGGATATTCTCAGGACTCCGGGGGGGGGAAGCTGGCTAAAGCCATGGTGTGAAGACCACTGTGCTTATACTTTTTGACTCCCCTAGGTGGCAGCAGCAGACAAGCCCAGATGCTTCCCAGACCTGGGCTGGCCTGCTCCGCATTCTAACCTCACATGGCCCAGGATCCTCATTCCTCCTCCTTTTACTATTTTAGGACCAGGCTGCTGCACCCACTTTCTGGAGTAGCTTCAGCCCTAGCCTGGGGGCTGGTCGCTGCTCTGCCTTGGCACCTCTAGGTCATCTTTGAGGCCCTGGGAGGCTGGGTCAGGCTGTGTGTGGCAAAAAAGGACAGGCACCTTCTCTTTTCGTCCTCCAGTTGTGATCGTAGTTTCTCTTCTTGCAGGTCTGGCACTGAGGGCACAGCCATGTTTTCTGAGATTCCTGTAGGAGGAAGGTGCTGATGGTTATTCCAACGAGGAAGAAAGGTACAAGGAAAAGTGTGACATTTAGGGCCGATGACAGAGTTCAAGTGCATCCCAAGATCAAAGATCCTGTGCATCCTTCTGGGGCCTCTGGATGGCAACCTCTGCTCGGTCAAAAGCTCACCCCCACTGAGAGGAGTGGTTTACAGGATTATACTCTCCTGCTGTGCCTTCCAACATTCAACATCCGTCCCTGGAAGGGAATTCTTTCCTACACCTCTACTGATCCTTTACTCTAGAGTTCACTCATTTCCTCTTGAGGCTCCAGGGAAGATGCAAAACATTCCCCATCCTCTGAGAGAAAACCCTTCACAGACCAAGAAAACCTCTCTAAACTGTCTCACATCTTTCTCTGCACTAGCGGAGAATTTCTGGCCTCAGGATCATGTCTCCTGTTTTTCACTTCCCTCTTCAGCAGTGGTTCTCAAGCCTGATTAACCCAGGCGTGTGCATGCGCAACCAGGACTGAGAACAGGCCTTGGCGGCAGGACCATGGCAAGGCCTGGAAGAGGACTGGGCGTGTCAGTGGTGACCAACTGGGGCCTGCATCCTGGGTCCTCACCCCTGCCTGGCCCCATGTTGTTACCACTGACTGCCAGGTTGCCTGCTCAGGCTAGTGTGCTCATCTGAAGCTGGTCCATTCTTAGCCTGGTATGTGGGGTCTGTTTATCTTCTAGGAGTGTCTTTGTGGTTGCACTGCAATTCTTAGCCCCATAGAAGACATTTTAGAGGTCATACAGCCCTGCTTTTTACTCTATGTAGGGGAGAATGAACATACTGTGGTACTGCTGGATGCATGTAGACTTCAACCTTAGAGTACTATTTGAGATAAGTAGTATTATTCTCATTTTATAGATAAGGACATTGAGGTTCAAAGAGTTTAACCTGCTCAAGTTACCACCCTAATTTCAGAAACCTGGGTTTGTTTGATTGCAAGGGACTTGGGCTCAAAAATCCCTTCTGTAATATTTCTGACAGATGGTCATCTGCTTTCTGCTCAGATACTTCTAGGGATAAGGAGCTTGTGACTTTGTAGGATAGCACATTTCATTGTGGATAGCTCCGTTTCCTCTTACTTTGAGCTGAGTCCTTCCCCACTAATTTCTTTTCGCCTCTAATTTGGCTCTTTGGAGCAGCATACCATGTCCTTCTTCTTAACTTGGTGGTCCTTTAAACATGTAAACAGCAACAACAACAACTACATGTGTCTGGAGAGTTTTTCTCAGGTGGACTCTGCCCAGTTCTCTCATCTGAGGTCTCAGTGACGTGGTCACTTTCTAATTTGTCTTAAGGATAAAGCCTGGATCTGGACATAATACATCAGAGAGGTTGGAAAGGTACAGGGTAGAGAAGGACTCCTACTAGCTTTTAAAAATTTAGGTTCTACATTTCCATAGCAGGTGAATTGCTAATGATGACCATTTATTGAGTGTTTTCTCTATGCTAGGTTCTGTTGAGTTCTGCCAGGCCCTGGACTAGAACCTCTCCCTAAACTTGTTGCTAATTCTCACAATGATCCTGAGAGAAGACATTGCCCTCTCATTCAGTTAGATTATTAGTTTCAGAGAGGGCTGCAAATAACCCAAGTTCACCCAGTTAGTAAGTAGTAGAGCTGGAATTTGAACCCATTATTTTCTAGTTCCAAAGAGCAAAATGTTTATACCAGCCAGCTTCTCTATCACTTTTGTGTTTTTTCAGTGTCTATCATGGTTAGTGCCAATTAAACTTGTGGCCCGTTTAAACACTTCTATGCTTTTTTAATGAATGATTGTCAAAATGCATCCTCTTTCAGTGTGAATGTCCTTGTCTCAAAGGCAATGCTTCACATTTATTGGAGGTCTAGCCTGCGGAGAGGTCCCTAGTCTGTCATGCCATTATTCTTGCCCTTTGACTCCCTTACTGATTTGCCTTTTATGTCATTAACTCATTGATAAGTTTGCTCATGGGATCATGAGTCTGTCCTTGATCTCCAGGTACCTAACTAGCCCCTCTTCCTTGTGTTGAACGACAAGTGTAAACCGACTGAGCAAGTGTCTTATTCCGTAGTCTAAACTCAGGAAATGCAGATACCATGGACTTCTCACCTGAACACTACACTGTCTTCTGTGTTGGTGCATTTCATTGGCCCTTAATGAGGTAGACTGCTTGTCCAAATTCCCATAGTTCCCCCCAAGTCACAGGCACAGGAAGTCCTTGAGGGCGAGGACTGGGATCCTGTGTATTCTGTATCCCCCCCAGTGCTTTGTCCACACTCCCTGTCTAGGGTGCACTTGATGCCGTACATGTTTGCTGGTCCAGTCTTCTCTGAAAAATGGCAGACGTGATAAACAGACATGTGAAGGAAATATCTTTACATCAAACTGGTAACAGGAGAAACTTGCATGGGGCAGAAGATTTCCTAAAGTGTCAGAAATGGGCATGGTCCGCTGAGAAAGAAACATTGTGAATCTCTGCCTTGGAACACTTTTGACCCTACCACAAGGGCACCCCTGAGAAAGTCAGTGAAACCCAGCTCTGTGGTGACTGGCTGGGTGTCCTCCCATCAGCAGAAAGCGTGAGAGGCGAGAGGCTGCAGGAGCTGAGCGAGGGAGGGGCTGCTAGACTCGTGTGGGGATGTCTTATCTGGCTGGCGGAGGTGGTCCCTAGGCCTTCGAGGAAAGAAGGTAGGAGGGAAGGCCGAGATGGACTGGTCTGCTCTGGGGAGGCTGTGGCTGTCCCGTGGGAATGCTGAGCCTTCTGCAGGAGACAGGCTCTTGCCTCACCTGTGGCTGGCTGTCTTTTCCTTGGGCATCTTGCACCTTCCCTGGCAGATCACAGAACTGCAGGAGCCCTGGAAGAGTGTGGGTGTTCAGGGACCTCCAGGCAAGAGCATTCTGAATGCAGCTAGCACAGCACAGAAAGACAACACCCCTCCCACGTGTGGAGTCCTTTGGGCCCAGTCCCTATGCACCGCCTCGCTCAGCCTGGGCACTCCAGCTGGCAACGATCACATCAAAGGCACCCCTGAGTCAGGTGGCCCAAGGCTTAGGGTGACTAGGAGGCTGTGCAATGTCATAAAGCTACCAGGTAGCAGGGCCAGCCTTCGTATCCATGTTGAGTCATTCATTCATTTACTTTACAAATGCCTATTGAATGTAGACTATGTGTCTGCCCCTGTTCTAGGTCCCAGGTCTGCCCTGAGAAGGTGGATTCCAGCGGGCAAGACAGACACTCAACCAACAACAAACGGAGTCTGCAACATAGTGGCAGGGATTAAAATGTGCTATGAGGAAAGACAAAGCTAGGCAAAAAGAGTGAGGATGACAGGGTGCAGGGCTGCCATGTTAGGGAGAGGGGCCGGGGGCCTCTCTGAGGAGGCGACATTTGAGCAGGGACCTGAAGGAAGAGGAAACTAACACACAGAAATCAGCTACAGAGTGTATAATAGTACATGTAAGGGGTCTGAGGTGCAAGCCTGCTTGGTGCATCTGAGAATAATGAGAAGGCCAGGTGCCTGAGCGGTTGGTAAGAGAAAGACTGGGGAGAATTGAGGTCAGTGAAGAAACGGAGGCCAGACCCCAGAGGACTTTGTGGGCCACAGTAAAGACTTTGGCTTTGAGAGAGATGAGAGGATGGAGGGTTTTGAGGAAAGGAAAGGCTTCAATCTATTCCTTTGATAGCTAAGTCAGGTGTCTTTTTTGCTGATCAAGACAGAGCTACTCCAAACTGAAGAATAGTTCATGTGGGGTGGCGCCAGGAAGCCGTGGGCCTGTTGAAAGGGTCTGGGAAAGAAAGCTAGGACAAGGGACCTTGGAGAGCCGGAATGAGGGCATGGAACACCCCCACGACAACAGCTACCCACGTTGCCAGGACAACCGAGTGGGCCTGTTGCCCAAGGTGATGTTTGCTCAGTGAAATGCATGGCAGCCTCACCGGACACAGCCTCTGGCTGCTTCTGATGTGTTCCGAGGTCTGGCTCATCAGTACCCTCTGGAGAGAAATGGGGGCTGGGAACTCAAAGGGAGGCACACAAAAGCAGCTAAACAAGAACAGAGGGGGAGGGGGCAGCTAAAGGGCATGTGAGCTTTGTAGGTCTTTGTCCCCACTGGGACTGTGGCCAGGGACAGAACCTCCAGTCACCTGACAGGAGGCACAGGGAGCCCTCCTTTCAAGGACAGAGTTCTGGCTGGGACAGCAGCACAGGAGGTCACAGTCCTCAGTGGCCTGTGAGGTCACACCACTCATCTGTGGGGGCAGCTGGCTCCAAAGCAACACAAAAGCAAGAGAGAAGCGTTTCATTTTGAGGCTGCGGCTCTGAGCATCACACAAAGAGGAAACCCTGAGCCGTCCAATAGCTACTGGGACTTCAAGCAAGAGGTGGGAGTGGGGGGAAGGCACAGTCCCAGACTGACCTTGTCTCTGGAGTTGCAGGTGTTTTGGAATTAGCAGTTCAAGGACAAGAGGGGGGTCTTGATGGGAGGGCCCGCTAAGATATGAACCCCCCCTCATACCTAACACAATTTCAACTGGAAAGGTCTCTGTACCATCTCTTCCTACTTCCCCACACCCTCCCCTCACTCTCTCTCCCCTACACGGTTATCTAATGTCTGAAATGTGCAGAATCATTTCTTTGGTTCAGTGATTCTCAACTGGGGGTGCACATCAGGATCAATTAAGGAGCTTGTAAAAGCACAGAGACAGCTGGGCCCCATTCCAGACCTACTGAGCTAAAATTTGTTGGTGGGGTCTCCTGGTGATTCTGATGCCCGCCGCCCCTTGTTAAGAAACACTGCTTACAGCCCTGAGCCCAGTTTCAATGCAAGGACCCTGTGCAGAGGCTACTGAGACTATAAAACCTGCAGAAGTTTAGGCAGGATGGTATGTGGGAGCCAGCAGGTCCCCCATGCCTTGGGCCCAACTTCCAGACCTTTGGGAGTCAATGGAATAAGAAGGAAGGGGCTCAGGGGTTTGCAACAAGGA